ATGGGATGGGGGTGTCGGGGGAGGGCAGTGGGGATGCGATGAGGTGTCAGGGGAATGGGATGGGGTGTCAGGAGAGGGCAGAGGGTATGCGATAGGGGTGTCGGGAGAGGGCAGAGGGGATGCGATGGGTGTGTCAGGGGATGGGATGGGGATGTCGGGGGAGGGCAGGGGGATGCAGAAGGGAAGGGATGGCAGCGTCAGGGGAGGGCATGGTGGATGCAGTGGGATGACGTGTTGGGGGGAGGCAGGGTTGGATGCTGGTGTCGGGGGAAGGGCAGAAGGGATGCGGGGATGGGATGGGGCATGAGGGGAGGGCAGGGGGTGCGGTGGATGACGTGTAGGGGGGAGGCAGGGTTGGATGCTGGTGTCGGGGGAAGGGCAGAAGGGATGCGGGGGATGGGATGGGGGCATGAGGGGAAGGCAGCGGGTGCTGTGGTGTCACAGAGTGTGGGGGGACACAAGGCCCTGCTCCCCCGGCTTCCTGCGATTCACCATGACTCTCAGCCAGCCAGTAAAGCAGTAGGTTTATTTAGACGACAGGGACACAGTCCAAGACAGGTCTTGCAGGCACAGACAACAGGACCCCCTCAGTTAGGTCCATCTTGGGGTCCCGGGGCACCACAGGCCCATTGAGGGGTCAGAGCCCTGTCTGGGCTCCCCTTCATTATACCAGCCAGCTCCTGACACTCCCCCTCTCTCCAGCGTCTCTCCCCCAGCCTCCCCTGGGCTCCTCCCCCAGCCTTTGTCCAGTTTCCCAGGCAGAGGTGTCACCTGGCCTCCAACTCCCTTCTGGGTTCATGCTCAGGTATCTTCCCTCAAGGCCAGTCTCCCAGCCCCCAATGCAGACCGTCCCAGCCAAACTCCCCACTCAGCATTCAAAGATCATATTAAGAACAGTCCCAGTTCGTCACAGGTGGGATGACGTGTTGGGGGGAGGCAGGGTTGGATGCTGGTGTCAGGGGAAGGGCAGAAGGGATGCAGGGGATGGGATGGGGGCGTCAGGAGAGGGCAGGGGGTGCGGTGGATGACGAGTTGGGGGGAGGCAGGGTTGGATGCTGATGTCGGGGGAAGGCCAGGGTGGGCGCAGGGTGCCGTGTGCAGAGGCGATGAGCCGGGGGTGTCTGAGGAATAAAAGGAATTCTGGGTGAGGGGGCCACTGCTCCCCTTTGAGAAGGGGGAGGGGCTGTTGCGCTGTGGGGGTGGGGGGCCGGTCCTGTGCAGGGTCCTCTGCTCTGTGTTCTGCAGAGTCTAATAGGGCAGGAGCAAAAAGAGAGACCGGGGGGATGGGGGGAATGAGGAGGGGGGAGAACTGGAATAGCGGGAGGCGGGGATCCCATAATAACCTTGGCCCCCAGCCCGGCTATGCCCTCAGTGCAGGGCCTGTGGCGGGGGGCACGGTGCCAGGGCCCCGCTCATGCGGGCGGCGAGCTCTAGGGGTGCCGACCCTCTGTTTCTGTCGCCCCTGTGCAGCGGCATCACCGGCCGCCAGCCGTCAGACCCGGGCCCTTGTGGGATGGGTGCCTCCCCGCTGGACCTGCCCGCGTCCCCCGGCCTGTGGAAGGAGTGCCCCATCTGCAAGGAGCGCTTCCCCCTGGAGTGCGACAAGGAGGCGCTGGAAGAGCACGTCGACAGCCACTTCTTCTTCAGCGCCCACGACCCCTTCGCCTTCGAGTGACGCCCCCGTCGCCCCCGCCTCTCCCTGCCCCCCTGCCTCTCCCCGGACCCTCCTGCCAGGCGCCGCCAGCCCGGCTCACCCCCTAGGAGCCACACAAGGCCGCCCGGCCCCCCCTGATCCCTGGGCGGTTCCCCCCCCCCCCCCCGCCCTCCATGGCATCCGAGAACAAGGAGTGAATGGGGGGGCTGGGCACTAGCGCCCCATAGTGGCTGTTCCCAGGCAGGTCTGTAGGCCTGAGGTCTCCAGCCCCCACCCTGCTGCCTTAGGGTGAAATAAGGCGAGTTGCTCCCACCCCCCAAATATGGGGTTCAGCCACTGCAGATGCTGAGCACTCATCAGTTGGAGTGGAGGGGGGGCAGGCTCACACACCCCTTGGCTGGGGGGCTCTGTGTCAGGGCAACAGGAATCCCCGGAGGGGGTGCCCCAACTCCCATCTGCCTCCTGGTACTTGGGACTGTTGCTTAGGGCTGGGGAAGGCTCGCTGGGGGGTGGGGTTCGAGCTGGGGGGCTGCCCTAGGGACACACTGTCTTCCCCCCTTCCCCCAATGTTTCCCCTTGGGTTCCAGACGCAAGGTGTTGGGAACTGCTGGGCACCGGATTTTGGAAGGTACAGGGGGTAGAGGGGCAGTGCAGAGAAGGCAAGGCCAGGTGGTCCCCTCTTGCCCCCCCCAGATGAGGGTAGGCAGATTTCCTGGGTCCCTCAGGGCTCTGGGTAGGTGCAGGAGGTCAGTGTGAGGAGAGCAGGGAAGGGAGCTGAGTGGGGTTAGGCTGCCTCATAGTTCAGGCTAAAAGGGGCCTGGATTTCCGCCCTCGTGGATGCCCCAAGACCTCCCCCCCTCAGATCCCAAAGACAGCTGCCCTGTGCTGCTCCCTGCCTATGTGCCAGGGGTCCTGGCCCCACCCCCAGCTCCACTCCCCTGGGCCCAATCAACTAGCCTTTGGGCCTCTGGCTGGGCTACTGGTTTCCATGTCTGAGCTAGGGAATTTTGCCACTGTCATAAGGGTCTGTTCCCCCACGGGACTCAGTTTCCCTGGCTGCGAGACAAGGAGACTCAGCCCCCACCCCACCCACACCGTCCATGGGCACCCAGCAGAGCCTGCCGCTTCTCAGCCCTGCAGACGCTGGCACGTGCCAAGAGCCAGCCGATAATGCTGGGAGCGCACCGCTAACGACCACTGATTTGTTAGACTGTCAACTGCATAAATAATTGGCACAACAGGCCTTCCATCGGCTCCTGCCGTTCGCCACCACCGCCTCCCACGCGGGGTTAACGGCCCGAGAGGGCCCACAGGACCCAGAGCCCCATGCACCGAAACCCTTTCCTTCCCGGCGATCTCAGGTAGGGGGTGGAAGTGGGGAAGGATCATGGGGAGGTGGGGCTGGGCCGGGCACTGGGTGGAGGGCACAGGGCAGCACCCAGGGCATGGGGGGGCAACGGGGGCTGAGCCCAGAGCTCTGTGTGTGTGGATACACATGCCCTGGGGGGAAGGGTGTGTGTACATGGGGGTGAATGGTGTACACCAGGGTATCAGTCCTATCCCAGCCCAGGTTGGGGGCTGGGTTCCACCAGCTGCTTTTTCTGCTAAGCAGCCTCCTGGCCCCAGCATCCCCTTGGTCTGGAATTGAGCCACTCCCAGCCCCGGGCCTGATCCCAATCTCGTCTGTCCTGTGGGGCGCCCCAGGGATCCCAGCCACCTGGGTGTAAATCAGGAACGACCGCCATGGCATCATCCAAACTTTGCACCAGTGTTTCCCGGGGCAGAACCAGGGCCTGGCTCTCTGTCGCAATCGGCCCCTCCCCGTGGCCTCTGGGCCCCTGGGTAGTGACTATGCCAGGTGCAGTAAGGGGGTGCAGTGTGCCAGGATGGGGAGGAGAGGTCCAAAGACCCACCTGGCCAACTTGAGAGCTGACAGGGTCCCTGGGGCACGGGGGGGAGGGGTGCACCAGCCCTGACACGACAGCGGGGGGAGGAGGGGCACAGACCTCACATGACCCCTGGGAGCAGCAGGGGGGGAACACTAGCCTGACTGGACCCCTGGGGAGACAACACAGGGAGGGTCACCAGCCCTGGCATGACCCCTGGATGGGGTAGCAGGCAGGGCAGAGCCCTGACACTACCCCTGAAATGGTTTTATTTTCACTTTGTTTTTTAAACTGACTTGTCCATTATTACTGTTATAATTCTCCTGATGCAGGGTGCCCGTCCGCCGGGTCTCTGCGTCTCATAGCCGCTCGCTGTAGCATGTTCAGTAATTAGTGTTGATTTGCAGTTGGTTTGCTTGATTTCAGGGGGAGGGGGACAGTTCAACCCCCCCCCAACCCCCTTGTACATACCCCCCCTTCGATTATTCTCATGCACTTGCTTTTCGTATTCACGGTTGCAATTCCTTTTATTTTTTTTTTATTTTTTTAATATAATACAGTTGTGACTCTCCATTTGCCCCTCCTCTTCTTGAGGGGGAAGGAGAAAGAAGCCAGGCGTTCGGCTAGCCCCCGAATTCTCAGTCAGTCGGCTGGGTGGGATGAGAGTTCATGATTGTGCCTTTTGAATGCAGGAGACGAGGCTGCTGTTTTGATCACTGGTTTATAGACGCTCTTTATTTTGTAACTAACCGTGGTTGGTGATTCTGATGTATCCAGCTGTTCCCTGCTTCTCCCCAATCTCGTCCCCGGCCTGGTTTTTTTGTTTTGTTTTGTTTTTTTTAATGTTCCCCCCCCCCCAAAAAGACAGCTAAGGTCCCCGAACGTTAGAGCAATAAAAACCAGTGCGTGCACACACACACACACACACACACACACGGCCCATGTATAGTGTGTATATATATTTATATTACATGTCTTGGCTATTCTAATAAAATCCGGTCTCTTCAAAGCTTTGCCTGATTTATGGTTTATTGGGCACCGTAAAACCTTGCGCCGCTCCGCCAGGCTCAGGGAGATCGCTGCCCGGATAGTCGGGCTGATTTTTACTCATGGGAGTAAAAGCCACTAGGCCTGTAGCGGGGTAAGGCCGATGCCTGGGCAGCCGGGGGCAGAGATCAAGGCCGGATAGGCAGCCGAAGCACCTGGGATTGGAAACGTTCTTCTTGCTGCAATGGTGGATGCTGCTGGGTGCTGTGGTGGAGCCGAGCAGGGCAGGATAAACACAACGGCGAGTATTAGAAACAAAGATCTGTCCCCCTCCCTTGGCTGGTGCAGGCTTTGCCTCCGGAGCTCTCCTTCCATAGCCTCCCTGGCCCCCATGGGGAGGCCGGTCTGCAGACAACTGGGCAGAATTGTTGCCTGCAGTAGATTGCCAGTCTGCACCGCTGCAGTGTAAGAATGCAGTTCTGCTGGCCACAGGGAGGAAAGCAACACTCAGATGGTGCCAACTGGGTTTGGACCCCCTGCCCAGCTGCTACAGACTCTGTTATGGATTGAACTTGGGGCAGAGACTCAGGATGTCTGGGGTCTGCAGCTTGGTGCCAGCTCTAACCAGTGACTCCATGCTCCTGTCTCCGTGACCGGCCAGTACCAGATGCATGAGAGGAAGCTGCAAGGACTGATCCTCAGGGGACGGGTCTGAAGGCCAGGAGACGTGACTCCCAGCCTCATAGATCCCAGCCTCCCTAGCATGGATTTATTACTATTATGGAAACATGTAGCGGTCCCATTGTGCTAACCCGGCACAGACACAGAGCAAGAGACAGTCCCTGCCCCAGAGAGCTTGCAATCTAAACAGATGTGGGTAGGTGGGGAAACTGAGGCACACAGTGGGGAAGTGTCTTGCCCAGGTCTCCCAGCCAGTTAGTGGCAGAGCTAGGAGTAGAACCCAAAAGTCCTGAGAGGCCTTGCCACTGGGCCAAGCTGCCTCCTTGTGGGTTTGTGGACAAGGTCAAAATGGACATTAAAATCTCAGCTGGTGGCTAGGACATCTTCCTGGTCTACACTGGTGCTGCAGGAAGATACGCTGGTAATTGAGAGGGTGGGCAGAGCCAGCACAGCCCTAGGGGGCGCTGTGCTGCCTGGAGGTGTCCTCTCAGGGGTGAAACATAAAGCTGAGGTCTTGACACTTTGTAATGGGGTCCCAGAAAATCCCCCAGGAGCAGGAAAGTTAATCCTGAGCCCAAGTCCAATGGGGGATTCCAGTCTGCCTCCTTCGATCCACTTCCCCAGCAGGCTTCTCCACTCCAGGCCCTAAGCTGCTGTGTGGCTATTTAAAAGCTATTTAAAAGGGGTGGCCGCATCCTGGTGGTGGATGAGTCAATGTCTGCAGGCAAGCCCTACTGGCTGTATTATACAGGAGAGCCACTCTCGAAGTCCCCTTCTGGCCTGAAATATCACTGGGGCTGCAGGGCCGACAGCTGAGGCTTTCTGCCTGGCATGCCTGGACCCACTTGGTACCAGTTGTGCCCATCTGGGCAGCCTGGCAGACTGAGCTGGTGCAGTTTGGGTTTGTTGCCATTGGGTAAGTGTCTGCAATGAGCCGGTACTAAGTGCCCCCCATCACTGAGAATAGAATGGGCCATGGAGACGGTCTAGCCCCTCTTCCCAGGAACAGGTCCCTCCAGGGCAGGGCTGGTCGGCATCATCTCTGTGCAGAATTGCCAGACCCAGGTTCCATCTAGTTGAGCATCCTGCCTCTGACTGCGGCCAGTGCCAGGTGCTGCAGAGGATGATATAAGCAGGCTACAGTAGCAGATGTGGGATAATCTGCCCCCCCCCCCCGCCCCGTTACATCTGATCTTGGTCACTGATCGACTTAGGCTTTAACCCCAAAGCCCAAGGTTTAATATCCCTGCCCACGTCAGCGTTCACTCTTCTAACTCTGGCTAGTCCCGTTATCCACAGAAATGTCCCTCTTTGGGAATGCTTGCCCTCAGTGACTTCCTGTGGCAGGGAGTTCCACAGTCCAATTGCCCTTTGTCTGAGAAAGTGTTGCCTCTCTCATTCCCTTTGAAATCCCCACCGTTCGCTTTCATTGAATGTGCCCTTGTTCTTGGGCGGGTGAAAGGCAGGATGGGTCTCCAGAGGCTGCCAGCCCCTAGTGCGAATTCCCCTTAGGACTGGATGGACAACAAAAGGAATTTGGCTCC